GTGAACCCCCCCAGCTCTCCCAGCCTGGCTCCAGAGCTGAGCACTGTCCTTTCCCCTCACCTTTTCCACCTCAGCAAAACCTTTCTGACTGAGGGACCAGCCTGCAGAGCCTGACCATGGATGCTCCTCAGTTTTGTGTTCTCTTCCCTGCTTGGCTCTCCCACAAAACCCGACCTGCAGCAGCCGGTGCCAGGAGCAGGGAGAGGCATTCCCAGTCATTTATTAGTGCTGATCCACCTGAATGCCCTCTGGAAGGGCAACCCTCACCTGGGCAAGCCCAGACACTTCTCTTTTTCTCTTTGTTTGCTTTTGTTTTACATTTCAACCCAGTCTTTTGTGGCTTTCTGCTCTCAGACAGCCACCAACTCCTCAGGATTCCTCTAAACACTCGGCATGTCATCTGTACAAGAGCAACAGTTAAAAAATACTCTGGAGTCAGGAAAGATCCAGTACATTCAATAACCAAAAAATAGAGATATAAAATACTTGCTTCAAGGCTGTGGACAGTATAACTGAAGATAATCTGTAAAATTGCTCGGCAGCAAAAGAAAGGTGGGAAGAAAATTCCTTTAGTGTGGCGGTGAGGGAAAGGCAGCAACAAACCCCCTGGAAAATATTTTTAGGGAACTACGATCCAGAGAAAGGGCGAGTCCGAAGCGTGGGGATGGTGCTCCTGGTCCAGGAGGAGCTCTGGTTTCCTGGGATGCTCCCAGCTCACTGTGGGCCCTGGGTGGCCCGTCGTTCCTCCAGCATCCTGCACACCCACATGGACACGACCTCGGCGTTGCCATCGTTGTACTGCACGATGAAGGGGTGGCCCTGCAAAGTGGGACAGGCAGAGTCAGCCACGAGAAACATGACCCTTTGGAAAAAAAACCCCCACATTGGAACATCCTGTGGTTACAGCCATAAAAATGCAATAAACCAGTGATTCAAAGCAGTGAACTTCCCCTCGGATCCGTGTTATCCATGTGCAGGTTCCTGTGGAGGAGGGAGGGCTGGGGGAGCCCAGACTCCTCCTGGAGGCCTCAGCCCAGCATTCCTTGGAAATACAGGTTGTTTATTTTTCTGTTCCATTAGCTCATTGTGTTTAGAGCCTTTAACTCCTTTCTGGGATGGCCTTCCAGGCTGTGCAACTGCTAAAGGATGTTTTGGGAAAATGATATCCTGGGGAAAAAAAAACATTAATCTGCTCTTCTACTTGTAAAGGTCTGTGATTCCTAAAAGTTTCTCTCTGTAACAGCCCCCTGTGCACCTTTCCTGTGTATTGACCTTCCAGGGCCTAAAGGGGCTCCAGGAGAGCTGGAGAGGGACTTGGGACAAGGGATGGAGGGACAGGACCCAGGGAATGGCTTCCCAGTGCCAGAGGGCAGGGATAGATGGGATATTGGGAAGGAATTCCTGTCTGTGAGGGTGGGAAGGCCCTGGCCCAGGTTGCCCAGAGAAGCTGTGGCTGCCCCTGGATCCCTGGAAGTGTCCAAGGCCAGGTTGGACGGGGCTTGGAGCAACCTGGGCTGGTGGAAGGTGTCCCTGCCCATGGCAGGGGGTTGGAAGTGGATGAGCTTTAAGCTCCCTTTCTTACATGCACATCCCACAGAAAACAACCACAGAGATTCCCAAATCCAGAGATACAGGATCACCCAGCTCCTGCAAACTGGGGGCCACAGCACAGCTCTTGTGTGATCACACATTTCCAGAGCAAAGCCAGTGCAGAGAACCTGCTTTCCCAGATTTGTCAGTGCATCCCACCAAGCCCTCTGTTTTCTCTCCATGCCTTTGGAATTGTGGGCAGCTGCTGCTTCCTGCCATTGCAATCGACCTTCCCGAGCTTGCTCTTTGCAACTGCCACAGTAAGAGATGTTTTCCCTCGATATTCGATTTTTTTGGAAGCAAATTTCTTCCTTTCAGCCCCTCTTAACTATGAACAGCAACTTGGAATCCGTCAGAGCATCCGGGATTTCCCACCCGGGCAGATCCGTGTGTGCTCACTCCCGGTCTCTGCCTGGGAGATGCTCCACCAGGGAGGAAGGACAGATCCAGGGGTTCCAGATCCCGTCTGGGAGCACAAGGATGGCAGCAGAGAGCTCAGTGCTCCCAGGAGAAGATGGATGATCCCAAAATGATGCATTTAAGTACACAGATGCTCCAGGCACCGAGCATATGGGCAATGTCTTTTTCCACCCAACACCTGGCCACTAAAAATCCTCAGCTTTGGACTTGCATGCCTAACATCAGGAACAGCACTAAGGAAAGACAGAATCCTCTTTTGTTTTTGCTCCTACTCCAAATATCCCAAGTGTGTTTGGGTTTCGCTGTTTTACAGGAATTCAGTGTGAAATATTGCTAATTTTACTTGGTTCTTACCTAACAATTCAGGAGAGGGCACAATAGGGGACCCAGAGACAGGAATCTTGGTGTTTATTCCCAAGCTGTCACATATTTTCCAGTGTGACCTTCACAAAAGCTGCTTAATTTCCAGCAGCCTCACGGTTAAAAAGGGAATAAATGGTGCTGCAAAAAAATCAGTACAAGTGTGTTTTTGCCCAGCACTCGGGGTATTTTTGGGTGAAAAAGGTGCAGGACTAAAGTAAATGCTTATTATAAGCAAGACAGCCTAGAAGGAGCTGTTTTGCCTCTTAAACAAAACAGCCAAGGACACTGGAGAGAACCAGGAAAAAACAATCAGGAGGCACAGACAAGGAAGAGCAGATGCATTGGGGCAATTAAAGGCAGCTATTAAAGGCAGTCCCTTCTCCCATGAATCTGCTTTACGATGGAGAGACCCCCCGCAGCCAAAGCCATCTCACACCCAGGATATCCCTGCCTTTAAGCTCCTCACAACGTGCCCAGGGAAACTGCAGCTCTGCCAGGCTGGAAACATCAGCTGGCCACACTGGTCACCCCGTTTGCTTTGTTTTGTGAGGATATTCCAGTGAAACCCGGGGTTTTACACACTGTTCTCCTCAGGAAGAAGTTTAACTTGAAACCATTCTTGGGATTTCCCTTGTTTTTGGACTGTGCTGCTCTCCAGGGAGGCTTTTTCTCAGCCTGAAGGGATGGTTTTACTAGGAGATGGTTTTTCAGAACCTGGTGGTTGTTTTTTTTTTGTCCTGTTTGAGGGGTTTTATTTGGAGACTTTGTTTGTTTTTAAATAGGGAACGGGAGAACAGAGATTTCTACCAAAGCTACAAATTCAGTGTCAGGAGGACCCATCTTTGCAGCTCTTGGGTGGACAACCAGCAGCATGTCCAGGTCAGGCACCAAAAACAAGGAGCTCCCAAGTGGTTCATGGATGGCCTGTGCCAAAATCTACTTCCAAACCCACTTTGCTGCTTCTAAAACCTGCAACTGCAATAAAACAGATATCAATGAGCAACCTGGAACTGTGGGTAATGCAGGAGTCCACCAACCCTGGCCTTGGCCTGTTCACAGCAACATTTGGAGTAAAAATGTAGCACAAACTACGTAAGAAGGACTTGCAGTTGGCTCAGCACCCAAAAATGTCTCAGGGAAGTTATTCAGGATTTCCTCCAAGCACACACACACACCCCTCAGAAACCTTAAACTGGAGATATCTTTGGAAGGGAGAGAGGAGAGAAGGGGCAGAAAGATTAGACAGGAAAGGAAGGAAGATTAAGGGGGAAAAAACCAGACAAAAATCAAAACCACTAAAGGAGGAATGCAGCCAGAGCTGCCACAGAAAAATGACAAATGTGCTGCCAAACATGATGCAAAAATTTCTCATTTTTGAGCTAAAGTTT